CTTCCGATCTGCCGGTCTCAGTGCGGGTCCCAGCAGACCCGTCACAGGGGCATACTCCCCTTCCCCTCTTCTCCCCTTCCCTTTCCCAGCCGCGAGCGCCCATGGGGCTAGCCGGAGAATTCCAGGTTCCAGTTCGTGCCAGACTCTCAGGAGTGCCAGACCACTGGCGTTTTATTGTACTTAGATTTCCAGAAAGCCTTTAACAAGGACCTTCACTAATGGCTCTTAAGCAAAGTAAATGGTCATAAGAGAATCCTCTCAGCTTGGTAACTGCTTAAGATGATAGAAAACAAAGGGCAGGAATATTTTTTCCCCCCAGAATGTAGAGAGGTAAGTAGTGAAGTCCGCCAGAGGTTTGTACTGGGATCAGTTTATTTAACATTCATAAAATGACCTGGAAAAGGGGGTAAACTTTGAGGTGCCAAAATTTGTAGATGATACAAAACTGTTCAAGACAGTTAAATCCCAAGCAGGCTGTGAAGAACAACAAAAGGATCACACAAAACTGGGTGACTGGGCAACAAAATTCAACGTTGATAAATACAAAGTAATAGACATTGGAAAATATAATCCTAAATATACATATACAATGATGGAGTCTAAACTAACTTAACACTCAAGAAGGAGATCTTGAAGTCATTGTAGATAATGCTCTAAAAACACACACTTAGGGGGTAGTAACAGTAAAAAACGAACGGAAAGCTGGGAGTCATTAAGAAAAGGGATAGATAAGAGGACAGAAAATACCATATTGCCTATATGTAAATCCAGGCCCCACGTATGCCACATCTTGCATACTATGTTCAGTTACAGTTATCGCATCTCAAAAAAGATGTATTGGAATTTGAAAAAGTTCAAAAAGGACAACAAAATAATTAAGGGTATAGAACAGCTCCCATGTAATCAGGGCCCAACCAAATTCTCACCTATGAAAAAACACATCACAGACTGTCTTTGCTGTGCTTTTCCCTTATATTACATAGATTTCACAGGGAAGACCAGTGTTTTTTAACTTGAGAGTCCTTACCCAAGAGTAAGTTGTAGAGAGGTCACAAAGTTATTTTAGGGAGGTTGTAGTACTGCCACCCTTAATTCTCTGCTGCTTTCAGAGCTAGGTGACCAGAGAGGGCAGCTGTTGGCTGGGCACTCAGCTCAGAAAGCAGCACTGTGGAAGCAGTGCAGAAGTAATGAAGCAATAGCATACCTTCTTTGCACAATACAGTTAACCTGTGGAACACTCCTTGCCAGAGTATGTTGTAAAGGCCAAAAGTGTAACAAGGTTCAAAAAAGAGCTAGATAATTTCAAGGAGGACAGGTGTATCAATGACTATTAGCCAGGAAGGGCAGGAGTGGTGTCCCTTGCCTCTGTTTGACAGAAGCTAGTGATGGGCGACAGGGGATGTATCAATTGATTATTACCTGTTCTTGTCATTCTTTCTGGGGGTACCTGATATTGGTCACTGTTGAAAGATGAACATGATGTTGGTACTGCACTAGATGGACCTTTGTTCTGACCCAATATGATCATTTTTATGTCCTTAGTGCCCTTCATCTTCAAAATGCATTCTAAATATCAAGAAATACAATCCAGGGCCTAAGAATGACACTAGGATCCAAACATTCAATGTTCTAATCCTGGCTACAGTAATAATTTATACAACAGTTCACAACCTCTGTGAGTTTCAGTTTCCACATGCTTTAAGTGAGGATATCTACACTTCATTATTAACCAGTTAATTTTCACAGCACCTCTGAAGTCACTGTATATTTTTAAACACTGCATTATGCCATAGGCATCAACTGAAATATGTTGGGGCCACAGGAAGTGAGGTGAGAGGAAGGAAGAGAAACACCACACATGGCACAGTGTAACCTCTTAAATATGGGGGAAAAAGTTCATTTGATGTTATGCAGTCAAGTTCTCTAGATGTTAAAATTTGGCACATGGATAATATTTTCCAAACAAGACTACATAAGAGTTATTTTATTTAAGTAGAAATATACAATACATTTTTTGCAATGGCTACATTTAAAATCCCATTATCTTAAAATTCATCTATATAAAATCTATACAATATATGGTAAAATGCATGTACCAAAACATTTACACAGTCAACATAGTACATAGAGACCAATAAAAAACACATGTGAAAGGAATCCAGACAGTCACTGAAAAAAGGGGAAAAACCCACTCATATCTAATAAAGTAATACTTATTGTAATACAAGAGTTTGGAGTTTTATTCGGGGTTGTATCAGATTATCTGAATAAATGTGACATCACAGGACACTGCTCGTATCTTCACAATTCATTCCCCACTTGAGAATTGTTGAGGACTGCAAAGGGTGAATTTAGATGGTTTGAGCACCATTTTATGTGACTTTATTAAGAAGTACACCATCAGTTCTATATGAGAACTGAAACTTTCTCTATTTGAAGAACCATATCCTGCCCTAACAAAGATCTGGGTTTTATTTAACTTGTCCATATCTAAAATACTATCATCTATGCAGAATAGCACTGTCACTAGTAGTGTCTTCTAAAAGCCATTTTGCATGTGATACTGCAGTCTCAAAGTAAGTGGCTAACGACATGGTGGTGATATAGAAATTGCCTCTTTGGGAGATGTATTAATAAGAAAGCTGTAGAAGAACAATTGTTTTATATTGCTTGTATAGGTTCTATTTTAGCATTGTGGTTGATCAGTATTTGAATTTTAAGAGACTTACAATATTAGATGCATGCCTCACAGAACACCTATTTTTAGAAGTTGAAAATATACAGAGCTACTCCTGGTGATATTAGGAGTTGATTTAAGAGCAGTACATACTAGAAACTTAAAGGGAGTTTTCCTCATGCCTGCAAGTGAAATTTCTGCAATAAAGTATTCAATCTTGGACCAATAGATTTTACTTTGTTACTCAAACTTGCTAGGCAGGGACTACTACCTGGATGCAATTTTTTTTCCTCCACAAATTGAACTCCATCTATATATATTTTATTCTGACAAATTCTTCTTTGCGCTTTAAAAAGGCACTTAGGAAACAAAGGTCAATCCAATAACACTTTTGTAGAGTGTAACTTTTCAGAAATACTTCAACTTATTATCTGTATCAACATAGAAAGAAATAGGGGAGTTCCAGATTGCCATTTGAGTCAGAACATGAAGACTACCTGTGAACTGCATTTCTACGACCAAGCATTTGACAATCTGGACCATTGAGGTCCAACTGGTTCCTAGATCAGGATGGATTTTACAAGGAGAGCTCAGTATCCATGTGCCAAGAGTAACATCCTTCTGTTTGCCTATGAAAGAAAGAAGATTTAAATCCAGGCCTGCTGTAATCTGTCATGAAGGACATGAAGAGGAATCATCATAATCAAGAAAGGCGACAACATTTGGGACTTCAATGATATTTTTTGCCAGTCTGAAAAGTGCAGCAGGGCAGAGAAAGCAGAGTGACTATCTACTGACCTAAGAGGTCCCATCAGTAGCTGGTCCAAAGTTTTGAATTAATCCAAATTAGTGCTTCTGGTATTCAGTAAAGCAACACAGTGTGACAGATATGTGAATAAAACCTAAAAGTCCTTCTTCTTACTGACACCTTGGGCAAATCTTTACTTTGTGTTTCAGTTTCCACATCTATTAAATGGAGATAATGCTTGGTTACCTCACAGATGTGTAATAAGGATAAATTCTGTGTGTTATTTTTCCAATATCCCTTTGAGACTATTAGATATTCAACCTTCCACATACTTCCAAATGTGTATTCCAAAAACCACTTAACACACCTAATAAAATTTCTCACAAAGTGTAGGCACACACAAGTACAAAAAGCCCAACAGGTAATGATAAATGGTTCAATGTCTAGTTGGCAGCTGCTTTAGGCACGTAAAAGGGCAATCAGTTAACTGGTTACCTGGTAAGTACTATCTTAACAGCATACTTAATGGGGTAACCAGTTAACCAGCACCCAGTCTGGCCAACACACCTAATAAAATTTCTCACAAAGTGTAGGCACACACAAGTACAAAAAGCCCAACAGGTAATGATAAATGGTTCAATGTCTAGTTGGCAGCTGCTTTAGGCACGTAAAAGGGCAATCAGTTAACTGGTTACCTGGTAAGTACTATCTTAACAGCATACTTAATGGGGTAACCAGTTAACCAGCACCCAGTCTGGCCAAACCCCCTCCCTGGCCTGAGCAGCCTCCTGCCTATGCCATGGGGCAAGGAGATACTCCAGCCTGGCCATGCGCACTGTGCTGCGGCATTGCTCCAGTGACCATAGCCAGGGGTTGGCCCTAGAGCCAGTTTTGTTCAACATATTCATTAATAATCTGGATGATGGAATGGATTGCTCCCTCAGCAAGTTCATGGAGGACACTAAGATGAACGGGGGGAAGGTAGGTAAGATGGAGAGTAGGGATAGGGTCCAGAGTTGGAAGATTGAGCCAAAAGAAATCTGATGAGGTTCAACAAGGACAAGTGCTAAGTCCTGCACTTTAGGATGGAAGAATCCCATGCACTGCTATTGGCTGTAAACGGATTATCTAAAGTAGCAGTTCTGCAGAAAAGGACCTGGGGATTACAGTAGACAAGAGGCTGAATATGAGTCAACAGTATGCCTTTGTTGCCAAGAAAGCTGTTGGCATATTGGGCTTCATAAGTAGTTGCATCACCAGCAGGTCAGGGGAAGGGATTATTTCCCTTTACAGGCAGTCCCCGGGTTACGTACAAGATAGGGACTATAGGTTTGTTCTTAAGTTGAATTTGTATGTAAGTCGGAACTGGCTCCAGATTCAGCCGCTGCTGCTGAAACTGACCAGGGGCTGACTACAGGAAGCTGGAGGCAGAATTGCTCTGCCCCCAGCTTCCTGGAATCAGCCACTGATCAGTTTCAACAGCGGCTGAATCTCGAGCCTGGGACAGAACAGCTGGGCTGCCAGGTAGGTCCCTGCAGGACCAACCCGGCAGCACCCCAGCTGCTCTACCCCAGGGTCCACAACAAAAGCCTGATCTGCTGGGGGGGGGGCACTAGCTGTGCCCCCCCCCCAGCAGACCGGGGACACGGGGAGCAAAGCCTCAGAGGCGCGGGCCCCCGCCGCCGCTGTGGCTTTGCTCCCGGTGTCCCTGGTCTGCTGGAGACGGTCCCCAGTAGACCAGGGACACCCAGAGCAAAGCCGGGGAGGCGGAGGGGTCCCGCGCCTCCCCGGCTTTGCTCCGGGTGTCCCTGGTCTGCTGGAGACGGTCCCCAGTAGACCAGGGACACCCAGAGCAAAGCCGGGGAGGCGGAGGGGTCCCGCGCCTCCCCGGCTTTGCTCCGGGTGTCCCTGGTCTGCTGGAGACGGTCCCCAGCAGACCAGGGGCACCCGGAGCAGCTTTTCTCGCCCCGGAGGTCGAGGTGGCGGGACCGCTGCGCTCTGGGCGGTCCCGCTGCCTGCGAGCTCCGGGGCGAGAAAGCCCCGTTCGTAAGTGCGGATCCGACATAAGTCGGATCCGCGTAACTTGGGGACTGCCTGTATTTGGCACTGGTGAGGCCACATGTGGAATTACTGCATTCAGTTTTTAGCCCCCCGCTACAGAAAGGATGTGGACAAACTGGAAAGAGTCCAGTGGAGAGCCAATGATTAGAGTGTTGGGCTCATAACTTATGAGGAGAAGCTGAGAGAACTGGGCTTATTTTGTCTCCCAAAAAGAAGAATGAGGGAATAATCTTCAACTACCGGAAGTGGGGTTTCTAAGAGGATGAAGGTAGGCTGATCTTAGTGGGGCAGAAGACAGAACAAAGAGCAATGGCCTCAAGTTGCAGTAGTGGAGGTTTAGATTCGATATTCAGAAAAAACTACTTCACTGGGAGGGTAGTAAAGCAATGGAATGGATTGCCTAGAGAGACAGTGGTATCTCTATCCTCAAAGGTTTTTAAGTCCAGCTTGACAAAGGCCTTTTTGGAATAATTTAGTTAGGATTCTTCCTGCTTTGAGCAGAGAGTTAATATTAGATGACTTCTGGAGATCTCTTCCAACCCAAATCTATGATTCCATGAAAGCTACACAAAAAACACTGAAATAAGGGATCTTTCGGAAAAGGCTTTATTTTCCAAAAAATCAGCGTCTAGACTGGCGCTTTTCTCTGGCAAAGCTCCATGCCAAAAAAAAAGCGGCAGCCATTTTTATGCTAATGAAGCACGGGAGATTTAAATCCCTGCTTCATTAGCGATTACGATACGTCTAATTTACATCCCTTTTCCGAAAAAGGGATGTAGTCTAGACGTAGCCAAACAAACAGTCCTTTCACTTTCCTAGTTTGAAAAATAAAGAAAATCCACAAAGTGAACCCATGAAAGATAAAATGCTATTTAACAGATGGGGAAAGCTCAAGTTAGAAGCAATTTCCCCCCAAAAGACTATGTACAAAAACTACATGCAGCTTGTGTGTTCCAAGTGAATTAAAACAGATCTCTTAATAGTTTTAGAAAGCATATTTTTAACTGATAGGTCAACCTATTGTGTGGGGTTTTAAGTAGTTTATATACATGTGATAAAGTAGTTAACTATATTAAGTGTAATATAACTTTAAAATAACAGGTCTAAACTAAAATCATCCATTCATTTGGACTTGTATAATGTAAACACCACTAAATTTTTAAGAAGTTCTATTTCTGACCCTTGCATTCCATGACAAGTTTCAACTGGTAGTACCTTTTTATGGATAGACAGGTACCAGACTCAAAAGAGATATAAGTTGGCTTTGTCTGAAACTGTAGTTTATCTACACTTTATACTTTCTAAAATTTGCTGCGTCTTCTGAGACCAGCCTACCAAGTAAACCATGTTCAATAATTCTTCTCACGCACACTTACCATTAGGACAGCAGAGAAATAAGTGCATCTAGAAATTTGCTCCGGTCTTCCATTTTCAATTCAATTACTAAAACAAAGAAAGAATTATTAGTTTAGAGGACAACTGCAAATATGCCAAAGCCTCAAACTGTGGGATTATGTATTTTAATCAAATTATTTTTCCAGGGTTTTTTTTGGTTAAGTCTGGCTAATATAGAAGCATGTCGTTTATTGTGTTGTTAAAAGATCTGAGCAAACTCAGCATTCCAGATTATCACTCTTTAAATATGGTTTCTATTATTAATTCAGTGGACTTGTATATCTACAATCTATCAACAGCTGTCGCAGAGCACATGTTCACATAATTTTCAGAGTTTAAACTTGGTCTTCTTCCTAAAAACACACAAACCTTTCCAGAATACAACTCCTTTTTGTGTTAGCTAAAAATGGAGGTATAAATTGCCTTTGAGCTGATGACTTTTTCAAATGCATTTCAAAACAAATGTTAATGCAGATAAACCTACGTAATAATTAACACACAACTAACTGTTTATGGTTACATTTGAGATCGCCAAGTCAATTCAGATATAAATTGTTATTCTAAGCAAAATAAATTTCAGCTTCTCAATCATAATTAAGTCTGCTTTGCAGACTTATTGCTACAGCAGTTTTTACTTACAGTACACCCAGATGCCAATTCATGAAGTGCCATAGTACTAAAATGAATATTATGTGTCATATTGCAAACTGCTTGTGAAGCATGCCACATAGATGCTCATCCTCTATGGATATATTAAAATTACAAGAACTGTCATTTTCGAGAATGGGTGAGATCCTTTAAGGAGTCTCTTATATTAAAGGATTTGCTGGTCAAATGCAACATATGGATGTGAATTCAGGATGTAAAGGGTTAACCGGATATTCAATAAATATTCACCTTACTGACATGTTTACTAGGGCAAGGATTGGCCTTACTAGCATTTTTACCAGGGCAACTGGTAAAGTGGTGCCCAACTCGCTGGAGCAGGCCTCACCGGGGGTGCGGTGGGCCCGCCTAGCTAGAGCAGCCTATGGTGGAGCAGGTCTAGCTGGGATGGAGCAGCTCCCTGTTTTGTGGTGATGTATACTATACCACAGACTGCTCCTGCCAGACAGGCCAAGCCTGCCACACCACAGGTCTGCTACAGCCCAGTTGGGCCCACTGGACCAGTTAACTATATACTTTAACCTGGGGTGGGGAACCATTTTTGAGTCAGGAGTTGCTGACCCACAGAAAAATCAGTTGGGGGCTACACACAAGTGAGAAGTAGTGGCCTCCCAACAGAGGAGAAAGACACTCCCCACATTCCCCTCCCACACCAGTGACTGGGGACACCCAACTTAGTAGACTGTGTGTGCTCCAGATCTGCACTGGGACAACAGAAGGGCTGGAGCAGTAGTGTGAGCTCCCCAATGCTGGGGGAGGCCCTGAGCCTTAGGGGCCAGATCCAGGCAAGCTGGGAACCACATCTGGCTCCCGGGCCTGAGGTGCCCCACCTCTGCACTGGTTAACATTTTAAACAGGGTTTTACATTCCTAATATAAATTAAGGATGTCAGAATTTATTAGATTAAATCTTTAACTGATGAGGTGATGCTTATCAGTTAAATTCTGAAGCCACCTCCCTTGGAGAAGAACTGACACCAGTATCAACATGGCACCCAGGGAAACTTTGAGCTTTATATTGCAGAGCCTGCAGTGTGTGTAATGGTAAGATTTTCAACCATTATTTAATTAACCATTTTAATCAACTTTTTACATCCCTAATGTGAATGTTAAAAAGTTACTTACTAGACATGTCAAAGTGGTTGTGTAAAATCCTAGAATTGGTGCTCTCTGCAGCTTTTTCAAATGCTCTCCCAAAAAAGCTATAAAAAGAAAACCAAACCCATACACATTAGGAATATCACCTTATTAAATTAACAGCACAAATTAGTTTTTCTAACACTCCAAATACTAGAGATGAAGACAAAATAGCTATCCCTTTCTATCCTAGCCTACCTGGACCAGCACATTATATCCTACAAGCACTCAGCCCCAACATTCCAGAATGTGTGGGCTCTAATTAGTCACTGTGGCTAAAAACCCACTTGATTCCCCAGGAAGCAGATAACT